TGTTAAGGAGCTTTGCAAAATTTGTAACAAACTTTATCGCATTTTTATTTGTGTCTGTATAGCTTCGTAAAAGATCAGTAAAAACATTTTTTAAAATCGACATAAAAAGTAAAGACTAACAATAAGTTATAAAATGCTTTTGGAAAATTTTACTGTAATTTGTCATTTTTTTATTTTTTATTTTTATTTTTGGTATTACACTCCTTTTAAAAGAGTAGAATAGGAGATCTTTATAATTTTGCTGTTGCTAATTTTGAATTGTTCACTACGTAAGTTATTGTTAAAAAATCGTCGATATTTGAATTGTGGTGACTTCGTGAAAAAAAAAATCGTAAAACAATCTTTCTGGGCTCGTTTTAAAGAGCGAAATCTTTCCATTTTTTCACGTTGATATTTCTCGAAGATGCTTTTGCACTAAAAAACGAAGTTCAAATTTAAGAACGCTTTGAACTTCGAAAATTTTGCAAAGTCTATCGAATCTTCGGAGTTGCAAATTTTTTTTCAATTAAAAAATTCAACTTAACCCGAAATTGAAAATTAAAACCAAATAAAAATACGAAAAGTTTGTTACGAATTTTGCAAGGCTCCTTGACATGAATTAAAAATCGCACACAAATGCAGTTTACAGCTTTTGAAAGCGTGAATCTTTGCCTTTAATTTGCGCACTTGTTGAGCATTTTGCGATTTTTTTTCATCGAGATATTCAATGTTGAGTAACTCGGTAAAAAAAAATCGCGCAATGCTAATCGCGAGTATTCAAATTAAAGCTAAAGATTCACGCTTTCGAAAACTATAAACTTCATTTATGTGCGATTTTTAATTGGGATGATGGAACCTTTTAAATTTTGGAAAGAATTTTGATATTTGACAATTTTTTACGAACTTTGCGAAGTTCCAGAAAGTAAAATAAAATTAGCATACAAATGCGACTTACAGCGTTCGAAAGTGTGAATCTTCACTTTTAATTTGCGTACTCGATATTGTGCGATTTTTTTTCACTGAGTTATTCAATATTGAAGTGAAAAGGACCATTTTTGCTTTCATATTGAATAACTCGGTGAAATAAAATCGCACAATGCTCATCGAGTACGCAAATTAAAGGTAAAGATTCACGCTTTCGAACGGTGTAAGTCACATTTGTATGCAATTTCTATTGCACTCCATGGAACTTTGCAAACTTAGTAAAAAATTTTTAGATTTGATGTATCTCTATTTGCATCTGTGCAACTTTGTAAAGAATCAGTAAGTCATTTAATGAATTATGGATTTCGAAAGTAGAGACTTCAAGCTGTAAAATGCCTTTTGGATCATTCTGTTACGATCATTTTTTATGAAGTTACACTCTTTTGAAATTTGCCTATTTTTAGCGACCAGAATAGGTGATCCTTTAATTTTGGC